CATCTTGCTTACTACTTTGCAAGTGATCACTGATTGGCCAATCCGGCAATCGGTGTGTCACTGTGTGCGGAGGACACAGCGGGCACCGGATCGTGGTGATGCGCGCTCCCGGGGAGCGAGCACAAGCAGGGTGCGGGGGAGGCTGTTTATAAACGACCACCCGACCCTGCAGTGCCACCGTCCGGCCGTTTATAAACAACGGCCGATCGGGAAGTGGTTAAAAACATCCTAGCAACATCCAGGGAGTTCTAAGAGCATGCTTATTGAGGTACATAAATAGTCTACACCTATAGCAAAAACATTATTCAACTTTAGTCAGAGCTGCAAAGTTTACTTTTATCTACAGACATCCACTATCTGCATAGGCAGTTTTTTTAGTAAGGCTTGGTTCACATCTGTGTGGGCGGTGCTGTTGTGGGACCCGGACAAACACCTGCAGCCGCACCACCCACACAGAGGAATGTGGGACCCGTGGGCGGGCGCTATTAATTCTAATGGCACGCCGCCCGCACTGGAAATTGCAGCTGTACTGGGAACCTTGGTTCCCATTCGGCTGCAATTTCTAAAGCTATGCAAGGACTTTTTCCCTGCATGTCCCAGGGCACAGGAGGCCATTCTAATGAATGGGATCTTGTGCCCGCACAAATAGCGGCCCGCAAGGCTGCACATATGTGAACCCGGCCTTAAGGTGAACTAACCCTTTAATCACTATTCTTTGCATACAGACTTTTAGGCTTGTTTCACACAGGCTTCCACTTGCATAACAGCAGTGTATACAGAGCTTTCAGCAAGCATGTTCCCTCAGGGCTAAATAAAGGAGTGTTTTCAAGGATTAACGCCTACAGGGAATATACTTTCCTGACCTCCTGTGTTTTAAAGAGGAACTATACTCAACTTCAATGCAGCGATGCGGCGTTCCAGAGCTCCCCGCTCGGCAGCTGACATCTTTGTGGCGGCCGGCTTCTATGTCTCAATGGCCAGCTGCTGTCATTGGCTGAGCAGGGATGATGTTTATTAAATAAATTGGTACTGCGCAATGGTGAGGACTGCTGCAAACATCTATCACACTCTAACCAGAATGTGTAAATACATATAAACATTGGGGTGTGTAGCGCTGATCCTAAAAAGGTAAAATATTGTGACCCCTTCAATGGGAGTGTATTTCCTATGAACACCAAAAAACTCTCCCATACTACAGGACACCTTTCTCCTTACAAGAACTGAGGAAATGAATGAATAAAATAAAATTCCTCCCTCCTAGTCAAAAATATGTGAAGTGGTGAGTAACTATATTTGAATGAGGTGCACCTCCCCCAAATTGAAATATATATTATGGTGAAACTAAATCATACTAAAATAGTGTATATTGCTATAATACACCTCCCCCATATTAGGAATGTTGGATACAAATACAAATATTCATACACAATGTGCAATATACAATGAAAATATTATTAAGCAATTAAATAGTCTGTGCATAAGCCAACTTCAAAGCCATGTACAAATATAGTCCATAAAACACATTTCTTATGCTTCAGTGCGCTGTGAGTGATAAACAGGACTGGTGCTTCCACACGTGCTCCCCCTTTTCCACCACACTCACCATAAAGTTAGACCCATTTCCAGTGGGTCCAACACACTTTGGGTAACTCTCCACTCCATGCGCTGGAAAGCCCCTCCAGTATAAGAATCGCTGATCTTCCATGTGCCAGACCATGAAGGTGTATGCCAGGACTTTGTGTTGGTATCGGACCATAGGGAAATATGCCAAAGAGAAAGGGAAGGTTCTATAGTGTAAAAACCTTTTTATTTAAAAAAGAAAAGTGCCAAAAACACAATTACAGTATAGCAAATAAGAAAGCGCCTTTAAAAAATGAACACCATGCGTTCAACAGCCGAAAACCGGAAGTAACGTAAGCTAGCCCCACCCAATGCGCTTTGTCATTGTGACGTCATGTCACTCCTTCAAAAACGCGGGAGTTCAGTCAAATACGGCATTGACGAATTTGTACAGTAAGCTGCACCTGCGCGTGACTCACAGTACAGGGGTGGACCGGCAGGTAGGCAAAGACAAAGCATGTCTCTTCTGCATTAAAATTCCCGCCTGTTCACCCTATTTTAAATTTTTAACCTAAAGTTCCTCTTTAAGAGGTCCAGCTCTTAAGGTAAGCGCAAATCTATGTACACATATGATAGTAGATATACGTGTAGTCAGGTGCTGTACTACAGTAGTATGGAGTAAGAGACACTGTTTTATTTCTGCTCCCCTTCTACAGAGATATTGAAGCCATGCTGCATCATTGTGCTCTGGCCACCGGGGGAGAGCCAAAACCAAGCAGGAGGTGTAGTCATAGTGTAGCCACTATGTAAGGAAACCACTGATTTTCTGAACTACAAATCCGTATATACTCCAGGGCAAAGGAGAGGCCAAGAGAGATTTAAATAGAATCGCCCGAGAACAAGCTGTTCTCTTGGCACCAAAAACCAGTAGGAGCATGAGACATCCAGCAACCAAGCCCGAATCACAGCTTCCTCTCTCAATGTGGCTGGAAGAGCAGAGCATTCCCATGATCATTACTAGGTAGACTTATAGACTTCTGGACTCTACCTTCATCAAATCAAACCAGAGGGGCTCTCACCCCTTCATTGCAAGAACCTGCCGGTGAGAGGACATTAGGCAGCAGAATCCTAGTACACCTGACTCTTTCTGGATTTTATGTTATAAATATTATTATTATACAGGATTTATATAGCACCAACAGCTCCTTGGAGCTTACAATCTAGGAGAGAGGGGTTAGTGGTACAAAAGGTAGTAACTGTGGGGGATGGACTGGTAGGACGAGTAGAAGATTCCATTATCCATTGGGCAATGGGAAGCCAGTGGAGGGATTGGCAGAGAGGGGTGGCTGATACAGAACGGTTAATAAGGTGGATGAGTCTGGCAGCAGCATTCATGATAGACTGAAGAGGGGATAGCCTGTGATGAGGTAGGCCAATGAGGAGGGAGTTACAATAATCAAGGCGAGAGATAACCAATGAGAGTTTAAGTTGCTTAGTAGTTTCCGAGGTTAACAACGGGCATATCTTAGAGATGCTGCGGAGGTGAAGTCTACAAGATTTGGACAGCGATTGGATTTGGGGCTGAAAGAACAGATGAGAGTCTAGGATTACACCTAGCACCCTGGCATGAGGGGAGGAACTGATTGTTGTGGTATTGATCTTGATAGAGAAGTCAGGGGAGGGGGCACGGGCTGGAGGGAATACTAAGAGCTCAGTTTTGGAAAGATTGCGTTTGAGGAAGTGGAGTGACATCCATGCCGATATGTCGCTTAGTAGGTTAGTAATGAGAGAGGAGACTGAAGGGGTGAGGTGAGGGGTAGAAAAATAGATTTGTGTGTCATCAGCATAGAGATGGTACTTAAAGCCATGGGAGTTTATCAAGGGAGGAGGGATATCACCCTACATCCTCCCCAATTAAACTGAGCCACAGGGAAACATAACAGTAACCAAATCTGACAGCAGGCACCAAGTATTCTTCTGAGATAAGCCAACTTTCAATGCTTATTCACTGCATGCAGGTTGTCAGGAATGGACTTGCCAGTAATGGTGGGACTCACCTGCCTTGTGGGCTGCAGTACCAGGGCTGGCCAGCAGGTGCTCCCCAGCAATCAGAGACTCAACCCTGCAGCCAGCCAAACACCTGAAACTGCTTATGCAGGTGTATTTAAGTGATGGCCAGACCTGCAGTCTTTGCCTTGGTGTGTGTGTTTTTTCCTGGGCCCTGTATCTTGTTCCTGCATTCCTGTTCCTGTCCCTCTGTCTGACTGATTCGTTGCTGACCCTGCCTGATCCGGACCTCTGCTGACTTCTCCTGTTTCATCCCTGGCTTGTGACCCCGACCATTCTCTGCCTGACCCCCTGTTCCTACCTGCCCGATTGTTATTGACCCGGCCTGCCTGACGACGCTTGCATTGTATATATTGCTATCTGTGGGTGGTTTGGTTTGGTTCGTTTGCACTGTGTTATGTTTTAGTATGGCACTGCGTTTATGTTTGTATTGTTAGTCTTTAATAAATTGTCTTATTGTTTATAACATATCTGAAGCCTGCGTTTCCCTGCATCAGTCACATACCTCTGGTCACACCCTGGAGCCCTGACATTACACCAAGGCTAATCCTGACCAGAAGTGGCTGCACAGGGAAGCCATCTTGGCTTGTTGCTGGGAAGGATGGATCTGGATGAGGTTGTGTATTTATCTCTGCTAGTGTTTGATGACAGAGAATATGCTTATCAGGCTCTGAAGGAGTATCCCAGGGATGAACTGCTAGAATGTATACGGATCGCTCATGTTCTAGTAGATCAGGGCACAGAATTCTCTGAGGTGCAGCCATTGATTCAGGTTTGTGCTGAGTTGGTTTCATCTGGTACCCCCGAATGCAGGGATGAATTTTTGCCGCGCCTTTTAGTGCCGACCAGGTAGAGTCCCTGGTATGGTTATTAGAGAGGATGATGTGGATTACTTTCTGGAGCGTTACTCTGCATGTTCACCACAGATACTAAGAGATTGTATAAACGCAGTGCAGTCATTGACCAGACAGGCTTTGTGTAAGCTCAGCTTTGTTCAACCCATACTGCAGACATGGACAGATTTGTTGCACCCAGCCTCAGTCAGCTTACAAAAACCCAGTCCTGCTTCTAATCTATTTCCCCAAAGCTCTATTCCTGCATCCCCAACAGCACCTCTAGTTACAGCCCAGTATACCCTGCTATCTACCGCATGTCATACCCCTGTTCCCACTCGCTGCACCTATCCTGCCTTTAACCCTGTAAAGAAGCCCTCTGTAGCAACTGTTCCCTCCCCTGTTCCATCCTCCAGCTCTTCTCTGTCTCCAGCTGCTCCATTCGTTTGCAGACCTGCGTTTACTTGCAGTGCTCCAGTAGTTAAAACCAGAAAAAAGCGAAAATTCTTTCCAACCAGTACCATCCTGCCAGTATCCAAACCGGTGAGCCTGCCGTCTGAGAACCTGCCTTCCCTGGTTCAGCCTGGTGCCTCGGCACCCGCACTTCAGCCTGATGTCTGTACCCAGCCTGATGAACTGATCTAGCCTGATGATCCTATCATGCCTGGTGACCCGATGCCTGCTGTCGATCCAGACGATCCGCTACCTGATGACCCAGTGCATGCTGTCATGCCTGGTGACCCGATGCCCGCTGTCGAGCCAGACAATCCAACGCCAGATGACCCGGAGCCCGCTGTCGATCCAGACGATCCGGTACCTGAGGACCCGATGCCCGCTGTCGAGCCAGACGATCCAATGCCTGATGACCCAGTGCCCGCTGTCATGCCTGGTGACCCGATGCCCGCTGTCGAGCCAGACGATCCAGCGCCAGATGACCCGGTGCCTGCTGTCGAGCCAGACGATCTGGTACCTGATGACCCGGTGCCCGCTGTCGTGCCAATTGACTCAGAGCCCACTGTCGTGCCTGGTGACTCGGTGCCCACTGCCTTGCCAGATGACGCCGTGCCCGCTGGCGAGCCAAATGACCTGATGCCTGGTGACCCAGTACCCGCTGTCATACCTGGTGACCCGATGCCCGCTGTCGAGCCAGACAATCCAATGCCTGATGACCCAGTGCCCGCTGTCAAGCCAGATGATCCAGCGCCAGATGAGCCGGTGCCTGCTGTCGAGCCAGACGATTCGGTACCTGATGACCGGTGCCCGCTGTCGTGCCATTTGACTCAGAGCCCACTGTCGTGCCTGGTGACTTGGTGCCCACTGCCTTGCCAGATGACGCGGTGCCCGCTGTCGAGCCAAATGACCTGATACCTGGTGACCCGATGCCCGCTGTCCAGCCAGACGATCCAATGTCTGACCCAGTGCCAGCAGTCATGCCAGTTGACTCGGAGCCCACTGTTGTGCCTGGGGGTCCGGCGCTCGCCGCTCCGCCTGGGGGCCCGAGACCTGTAGCTCCGCCTGGGGGTCCGGCGCCCGCCGCTCCGCCTGGGGGTCCGGCGCCCGCCGCTCTGCCTGGGGGTCCGGCGCCCGCCGCTCCGCCTGGGGGTCCGGCGCCCGCCGCTCCGCCTGGGGGTCCGGCGCCCGCCGCTCCGCCTGGGGGCCCGAGACCTGTCGCTCCGCCTGGGGGTCCGGCGCCCGCCGCTCCGCCTGGGGGCCCGAGACCTGTCGCTCCGCCTGGGGGTCCGGGCGCCCGCCGCCGCTCCGCCTGGGGGCCGAGACCTGTCGCTCCGCCTGGGGGTCCGGCGCCCGCCGCTCCGCCTGGGGGCCCGAGACCTGTCGCTCCGCCTGGGGGTCTGGCGCCCGCCGCTCCGCCGGGGGGCCCGAGACCTGTCGCTCCACCTGGGGGCCCGAGGCCTGTCGCTCCGCCTGGGGGTCCGATGCCTGCCGCCCTGCCTGGGGGCCCGATGCCTGCTGCCCCGCCTGGGGGCCCGATGCCTGTCGCCCCGCCTGGGGGCCCGATGCCCGACGCCCCGCCTGGGGGTCCGATGCCCGACGCCCCGCCTGGGGGTCCGGCGCCCACCGCTCCGCCTGGGGGCCTGATGCCCGTCGCCCCGCCTGGGGGCCCGATGCCCGTCGCTCCGCCTGGTGGCCCGGTGCCTGCTGCTCCGCCTGGTGGCCCGGTGCCTGCTGCTCCGCCTGGTGGCCCGGTGCCTGCTGCTCCGCCTGGTGATCCGATGTGCCGCTGCCCGGAGTCCAGCCCGATGTGCCGCTGCCCGGAGTCCAGCCCGATGTGCCGCTGCCCGGAGTCCAGCCCGATGTGCCAATCTTTGATATCCCGCCAGTTACCAGACCCGGGCGGTGGAACATTTAGCCCAGCTAGGACTGTTTGGAGCGTCCTGAGGCCGCTCCTTGAGGGGGGGGTACTGTCAGGAATGGACTTGCCAGTAATGGTGGGACTCACCTGCCTTGTGGGCTGCAGTACCAGGGCTGGCCAGCGGGTGCTCCCAGCAATCAGAGACTCAACCCTGCAGCCAGTCAAACACCTGAAACTGCTTATGCAGGTGTATTTAAGTGATGGCCAGACCTGCAGTCTTTGCCTTGGTGTGTGTGTTTTTTTTCTGGGCCCTGTATCTTGTTCCTGCATTCCTGTTCCTGTCCCTCTGTCTGACTGATTCGTTGCTGACCCTGCCTGATCCGGACCTCTGCTGACTTCTCCTGTTTCATCCCTGGCTTGTGACCCCGACCATTCTCTGCCTGACCCCCTGTTCCTACCTGCCCGATTGTTATTGACCCGGCCTGCCTGACGACACTTGCATTGTATATATTGTTATCTGTGGGTGGTTTGGTTTGGTTCGTTTGCACTGTGTTATGTTTTAGTATGGCACTGCGTTTATGTTTGTATTGTTAGTCTTTAATAAATTGTCTTATTGTTTATAACATATCTGAAGCCTGCGTTTCCCTGCGTCAGTCACATACCTCTGGTCACACCCCGGAGCCCTGACACAGGTTCTCAAAGGGACTTTCTTCAAGTGCACCAATGTTCTTCAAGGGCCCCAGTGGTAGCCCAGAGAGATATCGTTGGAGACTGCCCCTCCCCTTTAACCCTAACTATACCCCCATTATTCCTTTTAGTTTAATCAGTCATCACTTTATGGTTGGTACATTTCGAATCAGTTTAGGCCTAGCATAGCTGTTGTCAGTGCATGTAAACATTAAAGCCTTACCTGTTTGTAGTTCAAAATCCTCTACTGCTCACGGTCGTTCTACTTGTGGCGTTGTTACTGTTGCTGTGTTGTTGTTATTAATATGCAGGTTTGAAGACTAAGCTCAAACAGTGCATCACATTCTGTCAGTTAATAACTTGAATGTCAGTTACTGTTATACTGTGTTCAATCCAATTTATGTTTACCTGCTTACCCATTCACCTAACTTTCAATATACTGAATTACCTTTTTTTATCAGAATTGGTATTGCTAAAAAGTTAGTTACCAAAGAAATGTTCCAATAAATACAACACTTCTATTATACCAACATCATTGAGCCAATGTAATAAAGAGAGGAAATACACTCACTGGATGCTGCTATTATTAAAAAACTCAAAATAATAATAAAAATTTGAAAAATATACAAATCACAAATAATAGCGCAAACCAAATCACACAACTAAATATAACCACCACCAAATAAGTGCATATTAATAGTACAAACAAAAAATCAAATAGGGAATTTCAATATAGTCTATTCAGAAAAGTCCATATAAACATGATCCTCAGTAAATGAAGTAATGAGATCCTCCTTCATAAGCAATGTGGTATTCAGTGCTCAAAAACACCCCATCAAAATGCACACTCACCATGTGCTAGTAATTAACCAGCATGTCAGTATATATCCAGCATTCACCAAACAGACTTCAAAGGACGATCCTCATGTGTTGGTAATTACTCAGCATACTACTGTGTATCCAGCATATCACCAAACTCCAGAGAAGATTCTCTCATATCCAGATTAGCACATGTGGGTAAAGAAAATACTCACCATAGTGCAGTATCATCCAACAAATTTATTGCCAAACAAACCCCCCTTAAAATCACACTCACAATGAGCAAATAAAAACAAGGCGTTTTGTTATATCAGAGCTCCAGTCTCTGCATCCTGTGTCTCATCAGCCAGCCCGCATTCAAGATGGTAATAGTGCGTTCACGTGATCCGGAGGGAGCGGCTACAGAGGTGTGACGTCACGCCGACCGGCGCCACGAGGGCCCCGGCGACCATTTGCATTTTTCACATGTATAGTCAGTATCTTTCTTGCTCCTGCCTGTATTGTTTTTGGGAATAAAATACTCCTTGCCATAAGGATATTACACTATCTGGCCTCCTTTGTTCTTTGAGCTCCGGTGGGAGCCATTCACATCTGCAGAGCGGCCATTTCCACACGTGGCAACACTATGAAGTGGTGAGGGGCATTTGACCAGATCTGACCAGACCCATATAAGGATCCTTGATGTCCTGAGAGTATCTGCTTTAAATGCGCATTGGGATTGCGTATCTGGTGAGTGCGCAATCCTTACATATCTATCACCTCATCCACGGATCCAGCTATTGGATTTCTTGAAGATCATTTGGGATCTTTCCTGATCACGCCATAGACTGTATTTTGGTTTAGTGTCCAATCACCTATAGTCACCAATAGGTGACATTTTTATTTTTATTTGCACTTTAAAATTGTTTTATTATGCTGTTCTATTGGTTTTTGGCATAAAGATGTTTATATGTTTTAAACACAACATTTTTAGTGCTGCACCCTGCTTTATTTTGAATATTTTTTTATTATTTAGCTTAATTTTGAATATATTCTTTAATTATGTTTATATTGGTGCTATAATTAATTTTTAACACAAGATGGTGCTATTGAGATCAGGTGATCCGGAGTTCATTTAGATTGAATTCTACCTAGTGATAATGATGCACCCTCAGGTGTTTTTTGAGATTGGGCCAATTAGGAGACATTTAGGTCTATATAAGTGCTCTTTATGGAGAGCTCACCATTCCCACGTAAGAAGTCATTGGACGAAACGCGTCAGGTTGTGGCCTTCCTGTGACGTCACTACTCATGCTGATGCCCGTGTCCGGATCACGTGATCGCACTATTACCATCTTGAATGCGGGCTGGCTGGTGAGACACAGGATGCAGAGACTGGAGCTCTGATATAACAAAACGCCTTGTTTTTATTTGCTCGTTGTGAGTGTGATTTTTAAAGGGGGGTTTGTTTTTGGCAATAAATTTGTTGGATGATACTGCACTATGGCGAATATTTTCTTTACCCACGTGCTAATCTGGATATGAGAGCATCTTCTCTGCAGTTTGTTTGGTGATATGCTGGATACACAGTAGTATGCTGAGTAATTACCAACACATGAGGATTGTCCTTTGAAGTCTGTTTGGTGAATGCTGGATATATACTGACATGCTGGTTAATTACTAGCACATGGTGAGTGTGCATTTTGATGGGGTGTTTTTGAGCACTGAATACCACATTGCTTATGAAGGAGAATTGGTATTGACTTGGAGAATATTGTTTCTGGGTGTCAGGCACTATTTCAGTGGGCTTATGGCACTATATGTATGTGTATCTGTATATGGCTATGTGCCACAGGTGAGACAAAGAGGTTGAGCTTCTTGGAACAGGCAAGAGGGGCTTCTGAGGGGTTAGACCTACACATGTGTTAAGTGTGGATTAAGCCATCAGACACGAAATATGAACAAAGCACTTTCTTCTATACTGTGTACTTGCCTCTATCCAAAGCACTAAATTTCTTTCTGCTGCCTAGTTCCACTATCAGCATGAGTCACTTCTGACAGCTTTTCCAAGAGAAAAGTTATGAGGGAGGAGAGCTCCATCACATATCCTGTGACTGATATCTTTAGCTCTGCATGTTCTCTGTATGCTGTCTGAAGAGGGGCGTGTCTCTTCTCTCCAATCAGGTCTCAGAGCTGTCCTTACTGAGATCTGCAGAGTGAGACTTTAGATCCCCGCTGTCACTTACCCCTAACACAGGTGGTCAGGCACTATAGCTGCCTTCTGTGTTTTTCACCTAAAGCAGCCCCCTTTCCCATAAGGTAAGCAGGCCTACCAGTACTCAGTTGCCCCCAGGACTTTTACACAATGCTATAGTGCCTGGCTACCATAATGGTATGAGCACAGCAAACAGGTACTTGTGATTGGCAGACAGGCAGAGTGGTTCAATGACAGTTAAGGCAGGCAAG